TTCCCAAATAACTGGTTCCCAATAACCTGCATTCTAGCTCAGGTATGATATATATAAAACACCAAGCTATGAATCAAAACGTGCACATACAGGTAATATATATAATACGTAGACATCATACTTGAAAATTTGTTATAAACCTCAGTCTACATGGATTGACTGAATCCTAGGAATGACCACAATACTGTGTGCGAGAAAGTCTCAGGAACAAATGCAAACCCTTTTAAACCATTTACACTCCCTCCCAGGTCCCCAGATGGCGCAAGGGGGTTTCCAAGAATAGACTGAGAACTGTTCCCCATGCACATAAATGATGCTTTTCACAGGAGGAAAGGAAAAAAAACCAAACAGCATTACATTCCCATTCTTTTGGATCTCTAATCCTAACTGCAGCACTCTTTATGAACATATATGCAAGGTATTTCAACTATGAGAAATAAATGCTGTACTATTTTTCCCTGTTCCTGGGGAAATGGTGTTCCTGATAAAATACAGCTCTCTGCTGGCCTGGCCTGCTTCTCCATGAGGGCCTCACTTCCTGCATGCTTCTGTCTTCCCTTGTGAAACAGGGAAAGACCACCTAGTTTTGATGGCTCTTCAACTGCATCTTCTAGCAATTGGTGAGAGGACCGTCTTTCATTTAGGATTGAAAAATATTATATTGCTAAGGAAAACAATATTGATAGCACATAAATCTTTTGTCTTGAAGAAAAAACTGCAAGTAGTCCTTGAACCTAAGTAACTCTCCAGAAGCAATCCTGTTTTCTTGCAACTTGAAAGAAGACATAGGCTGTTCATGTAGTAGGCTCCCCTCTGTAACAAGCTCAGACAAGAGTGTATTTGTAAGCATAAGGGACTGAAGTCCTGGTTCAGGGTTTTGGGAAACTGGCTCCAAGGTGGGAATTTTCACAGCAGCCCAAAATCTGAGGGAAAACCACAGGATTTGAGATGGGGCTCCCCAGTCTTTAACTTTAAAGGACAACTCCAGGCCTGGGTAGCTCCCTGGCCCAAAACTTGTAGCATCTCTACTCCCTATCCCCATTTTTTGTTGTTTTACCAAAAAGGGATTACTCAGGCCAAAGCTAACTGAAAACCAGCTTGTTTGCACTGAATTTACCTTCACAATGCCACTAGGTATCGCTATGCTGCAGCTGGTATAGCAATAACCATAAAAACTAACAATTTTTGATCTGCCAGCATCTCATCATAGTAAGGTGATGCCATGCTGCAGACTCACCAAGACCAGCCATCCATGCCCAGCTGCAAATGTCATCTTCTCCTCAGTCCCAAGGATAAAGGAGTCAGGACACCCAGGATTAAGGCTGCATCTTTGCCGAGGTTCTCATGTCTATCTTCTTCCTCATGGGTTTAGAGCTCCTGAGATGCCGTGCCCGACAGGAGTGCTACAGCAGCAATTTTGGGATGAACACCTACAGGAATTATCAGAGCACTCTCAGTTGGTTTTTCAAGCTGCCTGCAGACTCGGACAGGTTTCTGTGGAGAAACCACACTAGGTGTCAGGGTCTCACTTACGAACTAGGAGGGCTAGAAACTAAATATAGATTCTGCTACAATCGTATCACAGGGGGAGACAAAAATTCTGAAGATTTTAAGTCTTTGTGCCTTAATTTTCCTTTCCAGGATTCCTCCATTTACAGCATGATTCCTTTGAAGTATAATTAAACAACATTGAAGCAAGTTAGAAAAATAGTTGGAAAGATCATAGAATCATAGAATCGTTTAGGTTGGAAAAGACCTTCAAGATCATCAAGTCCAACTATTAACCTAACCCTGCCATCCCACCACTAAACCATGTCCCTAAGCACCTCGTCTGCCCATCTTCTAAATACCCACAGGGATGGGGACTCGACCACTTCCCTGGGCAGCCCGTTCCATGCTTAACAACTCTTTCAGCAAAAAAATTTTCCCTAATGTCTAACCTAAACCTCCCCTGGCACAACTTCAGACCATTTCCCCTCATCCTATCACCTGTTACCAGGGAGAAGAGACCAACCCCCACCTCCCTACAGCCTCCTTTCAGGTAGTTGTAACTAAACAACCCCAGTTCCCTCAGCCGCTCCTCAGAAGACTTGTGCTCCAGACCCCTCACCAGCTTTGTTGCTCTCCTCTGGACGTGTGCCAGCAACCAAACGTCTTTCTTGTAGTGAGGGGCCCACAACTGAGCACAGTATTTGAGGTACGGCCTCACCAGTGCGGAGTACAGGGGCACGATCACTTCCCTACTCCTGCTGGCCACACTATTCCTCAGTTTCATTTACCTGAGTACAATAGACAAGGAGTTTGATTTGAACAGTAACTGTCATTTGAAATTCCTCAATGCCTGCTACCCACAGGGCTGGGGAAAAAAAGTAAAATTACTTTCTAAAGACTGCTACAAGGGAGCCATTTACTGGAGTAAACAACACCCTGGGAGACTCATTCCTACTGCGGGGTCTCTCAGCACAGATGCCTGCATCTGCATGGAGCTGCAGGAGTGACAGCAGGGTTCACGGGCAGGATGCTGAGCCTCTTACATGCAGCCAACAGCATCATGGCTTAGACCTCTGCACTGCATCTGCTTTCCAAACTTCAGTCTCCATCTCTTTTCTTCATGCCTCGTGTTTGCTGCTGAGTGCTTACGCATCCTCACTCCCAAACTGCCTCTCCTCTATCTTCCAGATGGGATGATGCAGCAAGCTGCTGCAGGGGTAATTTTAGCTGGTGAAAGACAAAGTGACCTAGGTGGAAGAAGAGCCATTAAGGAAGTTACTCAAGCAGAAAAACCACTAGAGGAACACAAGGCATGGAGAAAAAACCAGCGCAGCTACCCAAGGGCATCCTTCGCTCACATCTACCAATGTTTTCTGCCTCAGAGCTGGACCAAACTCGCATGTAAAAAGTTCTTGCCAGGGCTAGATCTCACAAGGGGAGCAGAAGGTGCCCCGCAGTCCTGCCAGCCACCTCTTTGGTGACCTTATCCCAGGGCTACAGGGCCTCTTACCTCAGCTGGCACAGGCCCTGGCCTGCTCCACAGCTGCCTTCTGCCGGGCAGCCTCTGCCACGCACCTCCTCCCCGCTCTTTCTCTCACTTCGGGACTGTTTCTCTCACACCTTTTCCTCAAACGTGTCTGGTTTTGTGGCATTTAACCTTTTTTTTAAGCACATTTTTCCCGGGGCGCCCCCACTGAGGGGCTCCGATGGGCCTTGGCGGGGAGGGGCTGCTGCGCAACCAGCCGTGTGGGGCGCGGG